TTATCCTGCTAGATATTATTAATATAGTTCTATGGGATCCTATATGTGATACATATATATTTACATTGTGAGTATATGTGTAGTCACATCTTATTTTATGCAAATTATTAGTTTAATACTGTGTTTATTATATCTTTCCATGCTAATACATATAGGTCTATCTAAGTCTTTCTAATGGCTTAATTATGTTCTATAATCATCTCATATTCTGATTATCTTCAGATCTTATGCACATCAAAGGTTATATATCTATTTATAAACACATAGATAGAATCATATTTTTCTAATAGTTTTTTCAGTTCATTAATTGATTTAGGATAAATTGATATTGTTCTTCATTAATAGCTAATTTTGATGGTAAATGTTTGTTAAACATTACAGTCCCTGTAATTGTACGATTGGAATTCAGATTTATTTGAGCAACAAACCTAAGTAAATAAAAATATGAGAACTTATAGTAATTCTAACTTTATTTTTCTGCTTTCTCACTTGTTATTTTTATTCTTAATTTTACTTTTAGTGCTGACACTATTACAGCCATCCCCATTTTATCTTTAAAGTTATTTGATTTGAAACACTGTGTTCTGAGGAGATGACTTGGTAGAATAGTGCATCACTTCAGAAAGTGTTTATAGAGGTCTCAGAACAGGCATCATTTCTGCCAGATTGTATTAGCACCTATTTACAAACGAGTTTTATAGCCATTGGATGTATTTTTTCTAATAGGCCTCACATTTTTTCTCATTTTAACATCAATTTAGATATATAGTTCAAAACCACACAATTCACATAGCACCCCCTATCTTGTGGAACTTATTCAATTCAGTTATTAGGTATATTCAGTTATTTTTTTCCAATCAAACTTTAAAATTCTTTGTTCTAGTGATGTTCGTTGAATGAACATTTATATCCTTCAGGACTAATGCCCCCCCCTCCCCCAAACAAAACAAAACAGGGGAATATACCTTTCACCCTTTGCCATGCTTCCTCCCTCACCCCTACCCTTTACACACCCCACTTAGTTCAGAGTGATACAAAACCTGCCGAAACCGGTTTGGCTCAGTGGATAGAGCGTCGGCCTGCGGACTGAAAGGTCCCAGGTTCGATTCTGGTCAAGGGCATGTACCTGGGTTGCGGCACATCCAGGAGGCAGCTGATCGATGTTCCTCTCTCATCGATGTTTCTAGCTCTCTATCTCTCTCCCTTCCCCTCTGTAAAAAATCAATAAAATATATTTTTTTTAAAAAAAGGAAAAAGAATGATACAAAACCCGACCTGCACAGAAATGCAATGGTCCACCCTCCCGATTCAAGCTGATTTTCTCTCTTACTCACCACTCTCACAGGTTGGTAGTGGTGTCGGCCCCCACCTTCTATTGGCCTGGCACCAAACGGTCTTGCTTCCTTTTATGGTGAAGTTGGCATCACAGGTAAAGGTCACAGAATCACCATGTATGTATGGTGGTCTAGATCTTTTATCTTTGCGTCCCCTTGCCACTACGGGCTCAGAGCAAATAGCCCTTCTGTTGAATGATATTGATTATGACAAGAAAAAGATTCAGATGTAGATTAAAGCTCCAAATATAGTTTATGTCACCTTATTAGAAACAGACTTAGAAATTTGTATAATTTATTTCTTAGGGACTCAGAGTACCTACTTATCCCCAAGCTCCTAAATTCTTACCTTTCTTTTGCTGCTCAGCAAACAAATCAATACAGGACTTAAAAGTACCATCTTGACCAAACAATGACAATGAAAGAGAATTTGTTAAATAATTCTGAGTCTCATCAATTTTAATAAAACTGAAGGCAAACAGCTGTGAAAATAATATGTTAACAACATGCTAATCACATGTGGGGAGGTACCATGGACTTAATGAAATATGGACTCAGACCTGGTCTCAGATTCCCACTGTCATTGAATAGCTGAGTGACCGTAGGCAAGTCTTACCCTCTCTAAGCCTCAGTTTCCCAGTCTATTGTATAAATTAAGCTACTTCATAAGGTTGTAATGAGAATCCAGAGAGATAGAAGTACCTAAAAGAAGAACAATTATTCAATTGTCTATTTGAATAGACAATTATTCAATGTCTATTTCAAACATACAATGGGGGCTACAAGTGGTGAAAGTACATTCTATTCCTCTACTAAAGGGACTGCAGCCTCACTACAGTCATTTGTCATCCTTTGATGCTAAACTCCTTTGAAAAAGCCACAGGAAGTGAGCAAGAGTTTGGAAGAATGACCTGATATCCTTGAACCAGGATACCAAACCACCATCTGTCTTTCTCTTCCTCTTCTCATCACCACAATGTATCTGCACAACCAAAGCCTCATTTTATTTCTAGATCACCAGATTTCCAGCCCAACTCACCCTTCCAGTACCTGGGTGGTGGAGGATTCCATTTATTGTTTGGTCAGAACCATGCGTTTGATGGTGAAACCAGGCTTACACTTAAACATCACAGTATCATTTAAGGAGGATGAATGCCTATACTCAGACTCCATAATTCCATTTTCAACTTCTGGAATTGGGCATTTGAAAAAACCTACAGTCATCATTTCCTTGCAGTACCTCATTCTTCATCCCTGCCCTTCATTCATTTGGTTACCAAATGCTAGTGACCGAATTCCCCAAATCTCCAAACCAACCATGTCATCATTGCTGTAATCTCTCACTGGATCACTGAGTAACAGAATTTCCCTTTCTAACTCTGGTGTCCCTTGGTCTTCATCTTCTATGCACATCTACCACTGCACACGTCATCTTTCCGAGGCACAAATGCGATCATGCCACCACCTACATTTAAAATCTTACAATGACTTACCATAGTTGATTGAAAAAAAAAAGTCATGGCCTGTCACGGTTAAGATCCAATCTACTTAATCAACTGCTATTCCTCACCACGCACCTCATACTGCAACCGCACCGAATTTTTCTATTTCCCACAGATATGTTCTTTCATACCTTCATACCTCTATCTATAATGCCTGGACCTCCACAATTCTTTTAGATAGCATTTATTATGTACTTCTCTATGATATCATAGAAATTTATCTCTATGAATAAATGAAATCATATCCTAGTGCGGTATTTGTTTAAACTTGGTCTTTAAATTAGTAAAGGAATTCTTTACAGGAAGGGATCAATAG